CTCTCTCTCTCTCTCTCTCTACTCAACAGGCTCTTCCTCTTCTCTTCTTTTTCTTCTTCTTCTTCTCTTCTTGTTTACTTCCTTCAAGCCACTTTTCAGGTACGCCTAGTCATGTGACTCGTTATACGAGATAATCACGTGATAGATACATCTGACTACTGCCACGCCCTGCCCCGCCTTATGACCACGGCCCCGTGCATAAAGTGTGCAGAAACTCGGCATAAACCCGGCCTTGGCATGCGGCAAGTGCGTGGCTCGTGGCCCTTGCTCGGCCCACCCCGGCTTCCGTCCTCCGCGCTAGGCCTCTTTGGGCCTCTGACCAATCATCTTCCCGGTCCTTGCATGCTGCTGACTAATCCGCCTATCTTAATTTCTCTTTTTTCTTTTTTTTTTTTCTTTTTCTAAAATTAATTTAATGATTTGTTGGTTTTTCTTTTTCCTGCNTTTTTTTTTTTTTTTTTTCGACTTTCCCGACTTTCTTTTCGTTCTTCTTCCTGCAGAGCAAACAAAATATATCACAAAAAAAAAAGGGACAAGCAAGCAGGAGAGAAAGGGAAGGAAAATAATAATCATAAGAGAGACAGGAAGAGAGTCCGCGATATCTCTCTCTATTTCGCAGCAGCCAGGTCTCTGCTGTTCTGTACTCTCGCCGGTCGCTGCATGGGCCATACTTGAACCAGTCAACAAGGGAGTTTCTTAGTTAAGTTGGCAGCTTGTCTTGGACAGGAAGAGAGAAAGAGAGAGAGAGAGAGAGCTCTCTTCTCGCCCACCTATATCTCGGTATCAGACGACAACGACAGCAACGACAACAACAACGACAAAACAACCATCAACCAGCGAAAGCATGGCCAGCGTCAACGGGAGCTTTGCCTCGCCGGCAGCAGATGCGTCTCTTCATGCCGCCGTCGCCTCGCCGTCCGGCCTCTTCATGGCCCTCGTCAACAACATGTCCGGCTGGGGCGCCGTGCTTGCGCTCTTCCTCTTCGCGGTCGCCTACGATCAATGTCAGTTCCCTCTCATTCCGGCGCCGTCTCGTCGCTTCTCTCTATCTGTGTGTGGGTTGTCGGTTGACTGACATGACCATCGTGGGTAGTTAAATACATATGGCTCAAGGGGTCAATTGTCGGCCCCCGGTTCAAGATCCCCTTCATGGGGCCTTTCCTCGAGTCCGTCAACCCCAAGTTTTCTGAATACAAGGCAAAATGGGCCAGTGGAGACCTCAGCTGCGTCTCCGTCTTCCACAAGTACGTTGACCTCCCTATCTGTACCTTTGTATTGTTATAATATACATCCCATTGATAAATGGCATTGTGCTGATGGCGGATGTCCCGGCTATGCAGGTTCGTCGTGATCGCATCTACCCGTGACATGGCCCGCAAAGTGTTCAACTCGCCCATGTACGTCAAGCCCTGCGTCGTCGACTCGGCTCACAAGCTGCTCGGCAAGACCAACTGGGTCTTCCTCGATGGCAAGGACCATGTCGAGTACCGCAAGGGTCTCAACGGCCTCTTCACCAGACAGGCATTGAGCGTCTACATGCCCCTTCTCGACAGCGTCTACGACAGGTACTTTAGCATGTTCATCAAGGAGTCCGCCGACAACAACCACAAGCCAATCCCCTGGATGCCGCAGTTCAGAGAGCTCATGTGTGCTCTCTCCTGCCAGACCTTTGTGGGCGACTACATGACCAACGAGGCCGTGGTCAAGATTGCCAACGACTACTACCTCATCACCGCCGCTCTCGAGCTCGTCAATTTCCCCATCATCCTTCCCTTCACCAAGACGTGGTACGGAAAGAAGGCAGCTGACATGGTCCTGGCTGAGTTCAGCAAGTGTGCGGCAAAGAGCAAGGTCCGCATGGCTGCTGGCCACGAGATCTCCTGCATCATGGACGGCTGGGTCAAGGCCATGCTCGACTCCGCTGCCTACCGTGAAAAGATCGCCAAGGGCATCTCTGTGCCTGACGCCGAGAAGCCAAAGCACATCCTCCGTGATTTTTCGGATTATGAGATTGCACAGACCATTTTCACCTTCCTCTTTGCCTCTCAGGACGCAACCAGCAGCGCCTGTACCTGGCTCTTCCAGATCATGGCCGATCGCCCCGACATCCTCGACAAGGTCCGCGAGGAGAACCTCAAGGTCCGGAACGGTGATCGCAACGCACCTACCTCGATGGAACTGCTCGACCAGCTCACCTATACCCGTGCTGTCGTAAAAGAGACCCTCCGATACCGCCCTCCAGTCATCATGGTTCCCTATGAAGTTAAGAAGGACTTCCCAGTCACCCCTACCTACACTCTTCCCAAGGGCTCCATGATTGTCCCATCCGTCTGGCCGGCTACCCATGACCCCGAGGCCTACGAAGACCCGGAATCCTTCATTCCAGAGCGATGGATCACTGGGACGGCCGAGCAGAACGCAAAGAACTTCCTCGTTTTCGGAACAGGTCCTCACTACTGCCTAGGACAGACTTATGCACAGCTCAATTTGATGGCCCTGATTGGAAAGGCCAGTATGGCCCTCGACTGGGAGCACCACACGACCCCCCAGTCCGAAGATATCAAAGTCTTCGCTACCATCTTCCCACAGGTATGGTGCCGCCTCAGCTGATCCGTTCGCACATACTTCCCGCGATACTTAACTTTTTTTTTTTTTTTTTAATAGGATGACTGCCCACTCGTCGTACGACCCCGACCAGAGTGAATGATGTCGTGAATGACCCATGGATGGGGTAACTTTTTTACACCCCTACCCCCAATTATCGAAACAACCGGTTCGAGGACACACCTCACCTTAATACCTAACTAACCTGCACTCCTTCCCCCCTCCCTCTTCTTCTTCTTCTTCTTCTTCTCTCATTCTTCTACCCCTCCTCTTTTCTCTCATCACGCTGAATACATTATGTACGGTGATCCTTTTACAGCATGACGGGCTTTGCCTTGCACCCCGCCCTTAACTCTATTAATGCCCCATCCCATCCCTTATTCTTCCCTTCTCCCCTTTAAGCTCCATGGAACTTCTACCCCAGACGTTCCCCTCCCTCATATGATTCCCACACCATTCCCTCTCTCCTACTTCACTTTTGGCTTCGCATTTGATCTTCTTATTTCTTCCCTCGTCACGCCCTTTACAGTTTCTCGTTTCTTCTTTTCTTTTCTTTTTTTTACTTCTTTCGCAAAAGCTTTTTAAGTTCAGAAAACGGCTCGTATATGGTATACGAGAACAGTGCGAGCAACTCGTCTGTCTTGACGATTCGGTCTCGCCTTTGGAAATGGGAAAGGGGAACGGGGGGGCGGCTTTAACGCATCGCAACAGCTAATCGGGGCATGCTACGGAGTGCATATAATACTTAATCGCTATTAATGAATGATATTCGGTGAAGACACCTCTTCCTCTTCTCTTACTTCAACCTCGCTTCACCCCATGCTTCACCTTGTCTTGTTTCTTTTTCCTTCCCGAGAACTTATCCTTAGCGGCTCAACGTCAATGTCAACGTCAATCAAAGTGTTTATTTTATTATTATTATTATTTTGGTTTTTTTCTCTTATTTATTTATATTTCTTACGTCATCATCCTCTGCCTTCGGAGTTAAAAAGAAAACCCAAAATAAAAACCTTATTTCCCTTTTGCGGAGGCCCGGCGTCGACTTGCCGAGGCCTGCGACTTTTTTACTTCCAATGGATCCTGCCTTTGATTCACCAGCATCATCAACCAATATTGTAGTCAACAGGCAGAGCAACAATGTTTTCTAACAGAACAGCCCTTCGTCTGTGCTCGAGGGCGTCTCGGCCTTCCACCTCCGCCGTTGCTGTCCCTGCCCGTCGGCTCCAGGGTATAAGGGTGCGAGCGCAATCTACCATTGCCGCAAATACCAGGCAAGCTCCCTCCCATAAGACTATATATACCCGGCCAGCCCGCCATGCTCGACTACTCTCCAACACCGCTCGTCTACCACAATCAAACGGCTCCTACGAACCCCTCTCCTTAAAAGAATACAAATTCGAAGACGTAAGCACCGCCAACTATCAACTACCCTAGCTATCTTTACAGAATTCCTGACAGCCAGCAGATAAACTCCGCCTTACCCACACAAGACTCTTCCTCGCCCTCCTCAAAACCAAATATAATCCTAATCGATGTCCGCGAACCCCCCGAACTCGAAGCAACGGGCATCATCCCTTCCGCCCTTTCCATACCCATCGGATCCCAGACAGACGCCATGTTCTTGACCCCGGACGAGTTCTTGACTCGTTTCGGCTTTCCAAAGCCAGGGACTGAGGGAGGTGATGATAATACTACTGCCAAAATGGTGTTTTACTGCAAGGCTGGCATTCGGGCCCGTACGGCGGGCGAACTGGCTGTTAGAGCGGGGTATGATGCTGACAGAATCGGGGTTTATGATGGGAGTATTTTGGACTGGGAGAAGAATGGTGGGCGAGTAGAGAGGTGGGATGGGCCTGAGAATTGAAACACTGGCTTGACCTGGCCTTTTCTATTTTGTCTTGATCGATTCTTGTATATCTATACTGGACAAGTACTTGTATTATTGCATGGTGGCATGGTATGCGCAATTTGGTTGAACATTGGCTCACAAGCCCATTATGTTGAATCGTATAAAAAAAGAGCGAAAAAAAAAAGGGAAGAATGATAATTCTACGCGATCAACTCATGGAAGTTTTTAGATATCCCACAGGCAAAGGTAGACAAAAGAGGTAGACAAAAGGTCATTACAAAGATAGCTTTCTTGCATGCTGGTTAACATGAATCATGGTGTCTTTAACGGGTTGACGGTTTGGCGCTGTAAGGACTTTCAAGGGATATCAAACACCGGCTTCAACTTTTTAATAAGTGCCCATTCTTCCATCGTCACGTCTGATCGGTAGAATTCCTTGAGTGTATCTATGCTCTTTCGGGAAATCATCGAGTAAAGTGTATCCTTTTCTTCGAGCTGGCGGCCGTACAGCGGTTGGTTGGGCCCTTCAATCTTGATGGCAACGGAAGGCTGTCCCTTCTTGCAGATGGGGAGCTGCTTGTGGTCTCGTTCAATAGACATTCTATGCGGCCAAAAGTTAGTACAAACGCATCTGATTACGGAATAAGTCGGAGGTGAACTCACACTCTACCGAGACTAATGACTTCCTTCTGTCCAGTGGTTGGGTTAGTTTTCACGGCTGCAATGGGTGTTAGAAGACGGAGGGAGCCTTCAGTAACATCAACACCAATAACAATCGGGTCCTTCTTGTTGAACACAGCAACTGGTGACAGGACGCAAGGGAAAACGGCTTGTAGCTTGCTCTCCTCCTTCCTCTGGGCTGCAAGCTCTTCCATATGCTTCGTAAAGTCATCGAACAGATGATAAATGATATCAGCAGTGAAAATCTTAATGCCATTCTCATCTGCGTAAGCCTGGGCTTCCTTGTCAACTTTGACGTCGAAGCAGAGCATGACGGCGTACTGCTTGGCTTTTTCAAGCATAGCGCCTGCACGCATCACATCACGCTTGTATACAGGTCCAATGGAGATATTGGCAACAGGAATCTTTGATGTCCTCAAGAACTCTAGCAAGGCTTCGAGGGAACCAAGAGTGGAAGCTTGAACGGCAACACCACGGTTGTCTCTGGAAACCTTGCTGAGGAGGTTCTCTAGATCAGACATGACTTCATCCGTAAGATCTTCCTCGTCATCATCATGGTTGACCACAAGAAGTCGGGAACCAGCAATAGCGTGTTCAAGGTCGTTAGCAGCAATCTTGACACCAAGCGCAGCCTTGACTTCCTTGTTATGGACGTATGCAGATTTGAGTCGCAGTTCTTTCATTGGGGCCGGAGTGAGAAGGGCTCGAATATTCGTGACGATGGCCCCGTTGAGACCGCAAAGGACGATACGATCTCCTTCACGAAGTACACCGTTGGAAAGGACAACATCAATAGTAGTACCGAGACCTTCAATGACCTTCACTTCCAGAACTGTACATTCCACTTCTGAAAGGTACATAAGTGCATTGGTCATACGCTCCTGAGTAAGAGTGACAAGTAGTTTCAGCATATCAGGCACACCCTCACCCGTATGGGCCGAAGTAGGAACCAGAGAAACGTTGCGAGCCATGGATTTGTTTTCATAGTAGAGCTCGGAGTTAAATCCTTGCTCTGCAAAGGCGAGCTTAGTCTTCGCAACTCGGTCTTTGAACTCGCTTTGAACTGTCTTGCTCTGCTTAGCCAAACTGTCCTGGAAGCCGTTGTTGTCAATCTTCTTCCAGCCGAACAATCTGTCTATCTTGTTTAAAGCCACGATGAAGGGAGTCTTCCTGTCACGCAAAAGCCTCATGGACTCGAGAGTCTGGGGTTCCAAACCGTGCATGATATCAACAACCAAAATAGCAATGTTGCAAAGAGAGGATCCTCTTGAACGAAGATTGGAGAAGGACTCGTGCCCAGGGGTATCGATGATAAGAAGCCCGGGAACCTTGAAGTCGAATTTGCCATCTTTATTAACGACTGCAGTCTTCTGGACGAGAGCGTCGACGGGGAAGTAGGTAGCTCCGATTTGCTGCGTAATACCTCCAGCTTCGCCTTCCTGCACATTGGTCTGTCTGATTTTATCCAAAAGTTTGGTCTTTCCAGTGTCGACGTGTCCAAGAATACAGCAAATAGGAGAACGAAGGTTGTCCTTCGACTGTGCTGCCACTGCTTCTTCGTGCTGCTTCCTTCTTCTCTCTGCTGCTTCTGCCTTCCTCTGTGCAAGGGCTTTCTGTGTAGATGTGACATCTTCCTCCTCGGATTCTTCTTCCGACTCTTCTTCCGACTCGGATTCCTCGGGCGTACCGGCCTCTGGCTCCTCCTTTCCAGCAGCCTTGGGGGCTTCCTCCTTAGCCTCTGGTTTGGCTTCGTCTTCCTCGTCAGACGAAACATCCCAGGACTCCTTGATATCATCATCACTTTCTTCGGCCTTTTTGGCTGCCTCAGCTGCCTCCTTTGCTTTCTTCTCCTCTTCCAGTCGCTTTCTCTCAGCCTCCTCGGCTTCGTGCTGTGCCTTGGCTCTGGCTGCAGCAGCTTCCAGGTCTTCCTCCTGTTTCTTGCCTCCACGCTTCTTCTTATTCTCATACACTGGCTTCTTCTTTTCCGTGGGCTTTTCTTCCAATCCAGCTACTACAGCACCACCGGCCTCTAGCAATTGCTTCATTCGCAGCTCATTTCGGTCCCTTGCTTCCTTCTGGGCCTTGGTCAGAAGTTTTCCTTCTCGTCTAAGCTGCTCCTTTTTCTCCCTTTCTTTTTCCTTCTTTCTCTGACGGATTTCCTCTTTTCTTCGCTCCTCTTCCTCTAGTTTTTTGCGCTCTTCCTCGGCCAATGTCTTCTCAAGCTCTAGACGGCGTGCCTCTTCTTCCTGCTGCTTTCGCAGTGCCTCCTGCTGTCTCTGGATTGCAGCTAAGTGAGCAGGGATCTTCTTCTTCTTTCCGGCAGGCTCAGCAGCTGGGGCTGGGGCCGGTTTAGTCTCAGCAGCAGGGGTAGGTTTTGTAGCTTCCGGTTTGGCAGCCTGAGCAGCAGCTGCGGGAGCTGATGCTTTCTTCTTTGCAGCCTAGTAAACGGAGGCGTCAGTAAGGACCGTACACCTTAAATCGTATATCCAGCAATAAATCATATATCTCACCTGCTCCTTTTTCCTCTGCTTTTCTCTCTCTTTCTTCTCCCTTTCTTTTTCCTTCTTCGACTTCAGCTTTCCACCCTCCTCAGGTTCTGCTGGTTTGGCTGCTTCCTTCTTTGCAGCTCCCTTGGCTGGCTTTGGTTTTCCAGCAAAGACATCGTCATCGTCAAACGTGCCCTCTTCAGGTTGCTTGCTCTCTATAGTAGAAACAGGATCTTCTCCCTCCACAAAATCATTGGTGGGCTTTCCCTTCTTTGCCTTCTTGTTCTTGTTCTTCCTCAGAGCTGCGAGCAGTCCACCACCCAAGTCATCGTCTTCCTCCGGAGCAGCGGCGTCAGCTTGAGGCTCTTCCTTCTTCTCAGTCTGGTTTGCCGGAGCTATCGACTCGCCCAGCTCTGCTTCCCAGTCGTCATCGGCCTTTTTATTTGACTTCTTTTTAGGCGCCATCTCGGACCGGTCGTGTGTGTTGTGAGTTTTCTTTTCCTATAAACGAGATTAGCAAGGAACTCGCCTGAAAAATTCCCAGGAGATCAATAACTAGTTGCAGCTTACCCGGCGCTTCTTTGCCGTTCTTGTACGCGGGATTGATATAAAAGCGAGGTTTGTGGGTGACTTCGTCCCTCGAACAATGCTTATCGTAAAAAGTTGATAGCGGGTGGCATTTGTTAAGTTACTTCAAGGGACCCTGTTAAGGTTGGGGCTTTTCCGCCTCCAACTGCGACCTCACTTTCTTCTGCCTTTTCTCTCACTACCTAAACTACGTAGTCTCTAATTTTATAGCCCGTCTATACCGTGTTCCGTTGGAAGCGTCCTCCCCTCATGCCACTTTACTCGGTTGACAGCCCATTCGTTAACTAGTGGGGGGTTTTTTTTTTACACTTGCCGCAGGCTAAAAATTGTTCACAGTTCGAACGAAGCTCAAAATTACTAAGCTAAGCGCTCGCCTATTTTTCGTGGCCCTGGTTTTGATATCTATTTGATATCTAGATCAGCATGTAAGGAGAAGTTATATTGATACCTTATACTCCGGTTTTAGGAGGCATCCGGTATGCTGGTTGGAGTAATACAATGATTACTGCTAGTCCTTTTTCCGCCTAAGCGTAGTTAAGGTAGGATGTCTTCGAGTGCGCTTCAGCCTGTTCCTTTGTGTGGCGAGTTCAGCTGCAAGGATGTGCTGCCGGCCAAATGTAAATGTTCGACATTATTTTTGTATCCCTGAGCTGAAAGCGACGCAGTCTAAAATGAAAGTGCCGAAATTGTAGAATGTTGGAGAATGTTGAATGTAGTGCACCGTCTGCCTTCCCCCTCCACCCCCTCCCCCCCCTTTTTTTTCGTAACAGCCTATACAAAGTATCCCGCTATGAACAGCTACAAGAGAAAAGATAAAAAGGTCAGGTATGGCATCAACTCTTCTATAACACGGATGGAAAGGAGAGTACGCCTTCCATGGAGAAGTTACCCACCAGATATGCAGTGATGTGGCGTGCTAGATTTCAATCCGGAGCATATTCTCCATCCACATCAGGATATCCGTAAATGGGTCGTTTGTCTCGCCTACAACTAGCCTGGCGAATTCGATGAATCTTTCTACCTTCTTTTCGGCATACGCAGGCGGAGCATTGTCTGGGGTGGTCCTCCGCATCATATCTTCAAGATACCTGGCTCCGCGGCTGATAAGACGAGCAAGAATGTCACCGTCAATATGCATGTATTCAGGCTTGTCTGGCAAAGGGCATAGTTCGTCCGCAGCCATTCGGCGTTTACGGCGGAAAGGGCAGATATTGGTGTCCGCAAGACATGAATATTGAATGAATCGAAGGATCCGCCATTCGTTCTCTGTGAGCATCTGGAACCGATAAAGCGTGCCATCCAGTGTTGTACCGTAAGCTATCTCGCAGCCGCCGGAGTGGGGCCGGAAACTGCGACATACTCGTACCACTGCGGAAGGGGTGATGGCAGAAAAGACGGGCCTAACCAGCCTGTCATCCTTTAATCCAAACTCTCTTAGGCCGATTACTGCTCCGCCGCGATTAGCTGTGAATATAGTCTTGAGTTCTCCATCAAGATTCACATGGTCAAGTCCCCCTTTATCAACGCCCGCTTGAGCATGCAAAATTAGCCCCTCTTGCGTCGCTCGAAGGACAATAAGCGAGTGGCGGGCGGTCAGGACGTAGATAAACGGCTCCTTCACAGTGATTGAAACCGCATGGGATTCAAGATGGTGAGGCTCCAGGCTTCGCCATTTTCGAGTGGATGGATCCAGGGTCTGCATTAGCAAGTCATCCCCAGAGGCCACGATCAGGGAGCTCGGTCCGAACGAGGTTATTGTTCGGACTGGTTGGTTGTACGTGTGAATGCGTTTGGTCATGCAATCAATGTTACCGATACCTGGTGGGTTTTGCCGAACTGTAATGTAAACAACTCTCCCTCTGTATTCAACACAGATGTCTCTCCCCGCTTTGTATTCGACCTGTGGAAAGGAAGTTCCTACCACAATCATGTGGTATTCATTACCTTCACCGTAGAATTTCCAATCTACCAATGCTGTCACTTTTTCACCGGATGCTCCAACAGGTTGGCGAGTGAGCACTGTAGGTGTAGTCGATTCATTGCCTCTAGCCCTAAGATCGATTGGTGCTGAAATTAGCGTCTCCCCATCAGGGTCTAGAAACCCAATCTTGGGCCATATCCAGCGTTTGGTGCCCTCCGTTGACGAAGTGAAGTCAAAGTCCACCCTATTATAAGCCACAATCAACTTGTTCAAATATTCGGAATATACGAGTCTCTTCGGATTTCCCCGGACACGTATCTCGCGAGGAACAGCTTTTGCAACTTTCTCCAAGCTACAGGCAAAGAGAGTATTGTCGGTAATACATAACAAGGAACCACTAAGGCCTGTGGCTGGTGCCTGTGCAGGTAAATCAACGCAGTTGAATATATCGACAATAGGCTGCATCTTTTCAGGCTGTAATCCAATTAGCATCACCTTTCCTAGGAACGATGAGTTACCAGTGGCTTACCTTGCTTTGATCAGTGATCCAAACTTTCTCCAGAGAGTAATGCAATGACGCCTCAATGGGGCTGTGTGACACCCTCCAAAGACCTGGACCACATGAGACGACAGCCAAGGTTTTATCAGATTCATAACCTCCAATTCGAACAGAAGTTTCACCGAGTTTATGAGGCGGCAATTGGTGTATTTCTATGTGAATATGTATCATTTCAGTATTCCTGTTCTGTTACCGCCCGAAAATTGCTAATGACTTACCGAATGAAGTATCATCTTGAGTGACTCTGAAGGGAATCAAATGCCCACTCCGGAGGCCACAAAATAGGACCATCAGCCTTTTCTCCTCGCCAACGGTGGATATGAGCTTTAGAGATTCGAACACCGGTGAATTAAGGTCATCCTTGCCCATCATGATCCCACGTTCAAGGTGAGGAGTCAAGCCTTCCAGGCTATTTATTGCCATAATCAGGAGTTTCCCTTCGCTTGTACCAATAAAGAGATATAATTTGCCGCCAAGCTCCTCAACGTCGAAGCAAATTGGTTCCTGGTCGAGAGCAAGAGGCAGTCCAATGAGGGTACATTTGCACCCGTTTTCGTCAGAACTGACGCTCCGGAGTTCCACTCGAACATCGCTACCGCTTCTTATAGCTACGACAACAAGAGAGAGAGGCCCACTGGTGAAGGCTACAACGGCTCGGTCGTTTGGATCATCCCATGTTATAGAAGATCGCTGCTGGAAGACAACGTGGCTCAACCGAATTGATGCATCAGTGACTTGTACTACAATACCGTCTGGCGTTATACTGGCTGCTAGTGTTGGGTGATCAAGATCTAAACCACTTCGTTCTTCGTCCATAGCAAATGCTTCCTCAGTGCCACTTATTGGTATAAAGATCAAAGAACTCGTCATAGGGTCTGTTAGCAGGCAAAGGGTGCCTTCTCCTCTAGGGACAGGAATTCCCCATACTCCTGTTATACTTGAACAAGCCCCATGTTCAATATTGAGGCCTATCTGTGCTTCAATGCCATATCTCAGTTCGGAGATAGTGCCATGATCAGGTCCAACACCGGAGCATGTGAAGATTCGATCAAATGGTAGCCCCATGCCTTGTTGGGTGTCTCTGGACAATGGGTTTGGAGTAGGACGTCTTGCCTTTATCACGGCGGTATCTAGGATAGGGCCCCAGTTCGGGACTCTCTGTATACATCTTGGTGGTTTTCGAGCATCTTCAATAAAGAGGCCACCACCGCACATGCTACCGGCGGTGACCAGGACATCTCCGGCCTGGTATCCTTCCGGGAGGATTGCGAAGGCAGTATCAAGGTTACAGCCTAGCGAACCTAGATTGGACTGGCGTTCTATATCTCCAGACTTGCCTATCTCCAGGTATAAAATCATACCATCTTCGCGGCATAGGTAAATATCGTCAAACTGGGAGTTTCTAATCCGATTGCGCCTGGCTCGAGCCCAGTGAGTCCAAACTTGGTTTCTCGAACGTGGGCGATGTTCTAGAGTTGGGAAGGGGCAGTTCATTGGTACGACAGGCCCATCTGTATTCAAGACATTCTTGTAGATGGACATGGTCGAGTGTGTTGCAACCATGAAAGAAGTTGAGTGAATTAGGGGTATCAGAACTGTTGGCAGACGAAAATGGTTAGAAAGCCTAAGGCTGTTGATCCTTGGGTCCACAGATCGCAGCGTTTCCATGGAAGTCCAGTCGTAAGTAACATAATAAGACTCGGAGTCTTGAGCTATAAGCAATAGAAGAATTATTCTGTCATTATCTGGTGGCGTCGGGTAAAGAAATTCCATCCTCAAAATGTCACCGTCCGCACGGAAGAAACACTCCTGTTCATAGAATACCAACGTGAGCATTCTTGGCCAAGGGTATTAGTGTGGAAGACATTACCTCCTTGATGGGATTTACGGGTCCTTGAGCCATTTCTGCTTGGATCATAGATGGAGATTTCAGAGAGAATACACCAAAGAACTTTTGCGCGGCACAAATGGCCATTGCTCGTGCCCTTGTATTTGTTAGTATTACAGTTTTGCTTCAATACGGAATGCCTTAACTTTACCGTGGTTCCACAGCGATGTGTCTTCCATATTCCTCTAGAGCACTCGTATCTGCTGGCAAGGGGCGTCTAGAATAAACAAACTCAGGAACACCACGAGATCCAGGCTTGGTAAACATAAAAAGAATTTCCTTTGAGCTTAAAACTAGAACCAATATATGAGGTGGGACCTTTCCTTCATCTTGTGATTCTTGAGTAGAGTGGCTTGAGATCCTTCCACCTTGTTTTATTTGATCTTCTAGTTCGGGACCTGGTTGAGAGTTAATTATTTTGGCACCGATAATCCTGGAGTCGAAATCAGACTTGGTAACCACTTCTTCTAGGTGGCCGCTTGGGACTAGCTCCTTGATCTGGATGAATTTATCTCCAATAAACACAACATCATTTTGATCTTGGTGTCTGAGGCGAGCTGGGAGTATCCATTGAACCGCAGGCCCTTGAGCAAGGGTTCTGGACAGTATTCCAGTAGCAGGTGTTTGGGCCTTCTCTGCTCTTCCCGAGATACTGTCCGATTCACGGTTTCGAAAGAGGAGTTCTCCAATATCAACCGTCCTCGTGGCCCACGTCCCATTGACCAAGACGGTGGTCTGTAACGACATCGTGAAGTTCAAGAAAAGTTATTGATCCCTGGTAGACAGAAACAAAAGGCTTGCACCGATAAAATAGGAATTAGGGTGAGACCTGAACATAAGTTCTAAAACAGAGGCGTTCCTCTGCTTAAACACGGCCTACTTGGTAACCACCAATATGCGGTATCCTGGCTATCTTCAGTGTACTGGATCTGGGCTGCCTAAAAAATGTAGAACCATGAGGCAAATGGTAAGTATAATGAATGCAAAGACTGGAAAAGGGGTCCTATATAGAATCCTAAATGCACTGCGGGGTACTCCATACACTATTTGGCTAGGAAGGGAGTATCTATTAGCGAAGTAGAAGACCAGGGCTTGCTTGGTCGGATATGGTAGTATTGCTAGGCTTATTTTCCCTTGCTGGAGATTTTGTGTGTCTGTAGATTTAAAAGAGAACAAACAGAAGGGCAGCCGAGGTCATATATACCACTCTACACCAGTGGTGCCTCAAGAGGAGTGACGAGGTATCGGACCCTCCAAGATAACGCAGGACAGCGAGATGGATGTTTCATTTGGCCATGCCGGGTATAATAAAGCTGCATTCCCAGTAAGAAAAAGAATAATCACCGTTGGTCCTAAGGGTGGGCTGGGATGTTCGTTGTATACAGAAGCACCACATAGAGTACACAAATGTTTGGCGGGTTTTCGGGAGGGACTAACCCACTGTGAGGCTAACTAGACGACCAGCAAAAAGGGCGCCGTGGAAGAACCCCTTGTTGTTATGATGTTTTGGCGTCGCAAAAGCCCGAAAAGACGGAGAAAAAGACACCCCCCAAGGACACCTGCGCTTCCCCGGCCTCGTCGAAGAGAAGAAAGTCGGGTGTGTCCTGCTTGTACTTCCTCGTCCTCCTTGTTCTTCCCGCTACGTCGATGTTGCGACCTCCCAAGACGGTGCCTCAGTGGACGGAAAAGTTTCCCGGAAGGAAGTTTCTCCGCCCCAGCCAACCAGCGGCCGAGAAGCTGCGAGCCCAGACGTTACGCCGGTATCACCAACACCGGACAGCATCGTCCATAGACGTATCGTTCTCCAGGCGGGCCATTCAGATAGCTGGCATTTTTCGAGCTATAAGTTTTTCTAGAATATAGGCTGGACGCTGCCTGTCATACCCATCTCTGCAGCACAGATATACTTGCATAGCTGGCCTCTCGACGCTTTACCCCAGGCATAGCCACTACCTTTATCTTGCAACTCCGTCACCCGTGGGACCATCACTGCTTGTATACACGCACGACCACCCCTTGATTGCTCGGCATGGCTTTCCTCTAAGCCCGATAGAGCTTTAGCAGGTGCTTTTCCCCTCCAACGGGGTATACCATATATACCAAAATTCATATACAGCCATCTCAGATTGATCCCCTGGAAAGGTTCAACCAACTCTTGTGTTTTACCTCTCTGCCCTTTACTTGGCCACTCGAGGAGTCTGCGCTTGATACCCTCCATACCTTCATAGTTGCATTCCTCTCTCAGTCAACCGAACCTGTCGATGGGCGGGAAACTAGAAACGAATCGTGTAATGGCAAACGAAGAACCCAAGGCAGGAGATATCAATCCAGGTCGGCTGCTTGCTGATTCAAAAGCCTACCGTCGGAAGAGAGCAGAGATCGTCAAAGCAAGCAGAAAAAGAGATGTTAGGCTGTTAGCTAAGCTCGCCACCTCTGAGGGGGGCTTGCTGGAAGATGACATACGAAAACAAGTTTGTAAGATAGGAGCTTGTAGCGTGTTTTTTGCATTTTTTGCCGACGGTTTGACTAAATGCTTCTTACCAGGGCCAATTCTTCAGGGATATGTACGTGCTACCCACACACTGGAACTTCCACCACTGTCTGAGCTGCCATGCCACGGCGATGAGGATCAAGTCAAACTAGATGTGGATAGATCATTTGTTTATTACCCCAATTGTAAGTTCGTCAACGTGGACACTTTGCTACGGAGAGTATATCCTGGCAGATGCACTAATATTATCCTTCAGATAAGACAGAGAAACATCTCAAGGATAAAAGAGATGAACTCCTAGACTTGATCGTATCAGTCTTGCGGCGAAACCCCATGCTTTGCTATTTCCAAGGATACCATGACATAGCCCAGGTCCTACTCCTCGTTCTTGACCGTAAACATGCCTATCAAGCTCTGGAACATATCTCTCTCTTTCGCATAAGAGACTATATGCTTCCGTCTCTCTCTCCCGCACTTACACATCTTCAGCTACTACCCGCCATCATCACATCCGTAGACCAGAAACTTGGCCAACATTTATCTGGCACCAAACCATTTTTCGCCCTTGCTGCCACCCTAACGCTTTACGCACATGACATTGAAGAATATGCTCACATTGCCCGGCTCTACGACTTCATTCTCGCCCATGAACCGGTTGTATCAATATACCTGTTTGCTACCATCATTCTCTCAAGAAAAGACGAACTGTACGACATTCCTCAGGATGAGCCTGAGATGTTTCATGGTGTCCTGTCAAAACTACCCCGCCCACTGGACCTCGAGACCCTGATTTCGAATACGGTACGGATATACCAAGACCATCCACCTGAAAAGCTCCCCTGCGGTGCGTGGAAATCTATACCCTCCTACAGTGTCCTTAAAACGCTGAGAAACCCTGGCTTGCATTCAACTCCGGATCAAGCAAGGGGCTACTTTCATCAGCAGATCCGGGGCCTGCAGCGGGAAAAGATGCGCAAAGATGCAGCATTGCTTATTCGAAAGCACTCTTTTTCTATAAAGCTTGTTGGTGCCACAGTTGCTGTCGGGATCCTTTCATACTGGATGATAAAGCGAGATCCTGACCTTGTAAAGCATCTCTGGCGTTATCTAGGGCCTCTAAAGACTACCATGGGTTTATGATCAGGTTAGGTCGCACTCTTCTTGTATATTAGCTAAATGACACTCATGTATGCCTACGAATATAACACAGAATAGATGTAAAATTTATCATCTGCATAGACCTTCATCTAACTGCCATGCTCTAGCCCCATGCTACAACGATTACATAAGCCTGATGTTCAAGCTGTCTTCTTTGCCAGTCGTCATCTCGCAGGCTCCAACATCAACGATATCTGCGACATTACAATTCAATAGCAAAGATGGCCAACCGAGGCTACGATGCAGTAGTGAACGTTGATGCTGAGGTATGGGATGCTGTTGCTGTTTTCTTATTTCTCCATCAGGGCCGTTCCCCAGACTAATTGAACTCTCCATAACAGGGTGACCTTGGCCATACAGACCTTCAAGAAGACCTTGAATTTCATTCCTCAAGTACGACTCGTGCCTCCCTGGAATATAGACCTTGGATAATGTCCCTATTTTTTGCCAGTGTCTAGGCGATTATATCAAATCTAGCTAACTCGGGCACTTTCACTCAGATTTCGATGAGACACCACGCAACGCAAAAGGCCACCCAGATTCCTCATCTTTCCTCGCCGGCTCATCTTCTCGACAAGGGGGCGGGTCAGGAGGCGCAGGTTCCAATGCGAAGATCTGGAGTATAGCATATTACAACCGATATTTCGACGTTGACACCTCAGAGGTCTTCCGACGATGTGTTTCGACTCTCTACCCAAGATCCAATTTCCTCGATGTTCTGGATGGGAACCCCGACCTATACGGACCGTTTTGGATTGCTACAACTGTGGTAGTAATTCTTTTCCTGACCGGTACTGTCTCTCAGTATCTGGCGAGGAAAGGCAGTCACCATTTCGAGTATGATTTCCGCCTCCTCTCCGGTGCTGCCGGACTTATTTACGGCTACACTTTCATATTGCCCGTTGCTTTATGGGGGGCTTTACGCTGGTTTGGAAGTTCCAGTGCGGATTTGATTGAGTGCTGGGCGCTCTACGGATATGCCAATTTGATCTGGATTGTCGTTGCATTAGTGAGCTGGAGTCCGCTTACTGCACTGAATTGGGCGCTTGTTGGCGTTGGCTTTGGCTGGACAGTGTTCTTCCTGCTGAGGAATCTGTATCCGGTACTAAGTGCTACGGATATGAAGACGAGCAAGATATTGCTTATTGTGGTCATAGTGCTTCATGCAGCCTTGGCTATTGCCATTAAAGTGCTGTTTTTTGCGTAAGTTGAAAGACCATGCAATCCTTTAATACGCGCGGACGCTGACAATTCGCATTGTAGTCACGGAAGTTATGCTAAGAAGCATGACGATGACCACGATGACAAGCATGATAAGGGTAACAAACATGATGACAAGGACAAGCACTCGCGCTTTTAAATTTGATATGTTATATCCTCGAAATACCCTAGCTCTTCAATGACTGATGAGCTTTCCCTTGCAACACTAATTGAAATATCCTTCTGAGCGTCTTTCGAATGCTGTATTATTGTTTCTTGCTTATTGACACTGTATTACTCCAACATTCTCATAGAATCTCGTTTCCGTAGGGCAGTGAGGTTGGTGAGACTTTTTGTTGAGATGCTATCTAAATAGCTCCGGGTATTGCCAATTCTAGGAAGACCTTTTCAATTGGAAATGTAAATAAATAACATAGTGCCTCTTCTTCCTTTGAAAGGCGTCATTATGTCATGTTCACCCAAGTAAAACACCATACCACAACCTCTGGCGGAACCACGCAACAGAAAAGCACCAGTTTACTTCAGCTTCTTCTTTGGTCGGAGCTGGTTTGTGTGTCCGCACTTCTTCTTTCGGCAGTTGGTGGCACGTGGAGGGAGACGGGCCTAATCAGAACAAGAGATACATGGTTAGTCACATATCCAGAGGCTGCAGATGCCGGTCGTTAACGCTGGGTGCATGGTCACCACATACATAGCACTTTCGGCAGACCATCTTCTCGCAGTTGAACTTGGAGGCAAGGGCCTTCAAGGAGGGCTCGATGATACCACCGGGAAGGTCGAGGACAAGGTGAAGGGTGGACTCCTATAAATCATTCCATCCGTATTAGACACCATTTTGAATTCTCGTCTGTTTCGCCACACATAATCTCGGATAGAGTTGATATCTTTAGTCTTCCGGGTGCTGTTGTTCAAGCATACCTTCTGGATGCCGTATTCGCTCAATGGGAATTCATCGCGGATGTGCTTTCCACCGAAGACGTATCGCTGTTCATCGACAGAAACGAGCTCTCTCTCGAAAACCTGGGACTTGATGGCGGAGATAGTGTCGGTGGGCTCTGCGTTCAGAGTGAGAGTGTTTCCACTCAGGTTCTTGACGAAGCTATCGATTGAAACGAAAGGGGTCACATAGTCAGCCTTGCGCATCCCAAATCCATGGATCCAGCCCTCTTTTCTTCATATCTCCAATGTTCTTAAAGGGTTCGATCGGAGCGATGGGGGTGAAGGGTTCAACCTACATCTGCACTACATGGCAGAAAACGAGATACGTTAGAGATCATTCAGGGGAGCCGCGCTCAACTAATATGAGAGATAACTTACTGTTGGCAGTGAATCTGTCGCTGTTTTGCTTCGTGGTTTGCCGATACTGCGTCGGACATTCAAGATAGCATCAAGATTTCGAAGGTGTTCGCTTAGCCCGTGGGAGCAAATACCCTAAGCCCTACTCTCTGTGCTGACTAAGCGAACCATCCAACTTCAACCTTTCGAAGGGTCAGAACTAACGAGCAACAAAGATGCGACTGAAGATAATGATAATAATATATCGAAGGGTAGGCCAACTGATTTTTTCTATTCAAGTCTAGTGTAGAGCATTGGGGTTAATTGTTTACTATCTCTGGCTTTTCCCCTTTGGAACGTGAATTCGGCCCTCTGTCTGATACACAGCAAGGACAAGAGTCTCCAAGGACACGCCAATGGTTTTCGCGGCAGTATCATAGAAATTCCTTGCAATATCTGGTAGTTGGTATTCATAACGGAACCGCAAGTAATCGCATCCCGGTCTGGGGACGGGTCTCATAAGCCTGCTAGCCTCTTCTTCAGTTACCACCCTCCTAACTCGTAAGCTGGATAGGACAGCCTGCAATTTTTCAACTACTGCTTCATCATCCGTCTGCCTAGCTTGGTGATCCGTCTCGGTATCTGCTGCTCTAGTGGTTGGAAACATCTCTGCAAAAGGGTTGGAAGCCTTGGCACCTATAGAACTGAGTTAGCAGATGGCGCGCATAGGTACAACGAAGAGGTCATCCTTACCTTTATCAGCCACAAAGAGTCTATCGTACCAATCCATGTATTCATCTAGCTGTTGCTGTGTCATTTCCATTGCATCCATCTCCGTAGCTTGCATTGCAGCACCATTTGTGAGGAATCCTTGTGAAATTCCCCTACGGTCAAATGTACTTTGAGCTTCAGCCCATTTTTCCCAATCTATAACTTGAACGGAAGGATCGTTTAATGTCCGTGGGTATCTTTTGACGTTATCAAATGGAAATAGAAGCTTAGTAGCAACAATAACAAGACACATCAGCTGCACCTCTGGTAAGTATATCCGATGAAATCTCCTAGTTATTTCTTTTGGGAATGTGTATGTAAATTCCACGCTTTTCATAAGCTGCTTAACAGCTGAATACACTTCGACTGCAACGTTTATTAGCAGAAAGTCATTTGATAATTGTTATAATAGAAGCCCCTTACAGGCCAACTTACTAGGTAGAGCGAGTTGCTTCACATAAGATAAAAGAAGTAATGATGAGTTAATGGCCGGAAACTCTATGCTAAAATCACGGTGGTATAGCACAATCAAGTCCGCAACAGCTCGATGAATTTGATCCCCAACGGGTAGATTCTGGTATGCATGTTAGACGTCATATTTATAGACATTAAAGTAAACGTAATTAGATCTACCTTGGTATCAAATGCGATGTGATATATTGCAGGTAACCGGTCTTTCATGTCTGAAGGTATGAAGCGGAGAGGCCTCATGAACGGTATTTCATCCTCAGCAACCCATTCTTGCATGTACCCAATGCTCACTGGAAGGCGGAGTAACAATGTACCCAAGTAGCAAAGAGCCAAAGAATCAATTACTCGAGGTGAAGTACTGAGTTTCCGCTTGTGATACTGGTACTCTTCTTTATCAAGTTCGCTTGACACGCCAGTCTGAGAACTGAAGAACTGGGTCGAATTCTCATCGTCAGTATAGATATCATCTCTCCCTTCATAAATCTTCTCAAGCCGGAGGATCCATAAATCCTTTACAATCCCCTAGACACTCTGTATCAGCAAAACTTATTCGCACTATATGAACCTGATGAAGCCTTACCTCGAGTTCTGAGGGAAGCCCCTTGACATGAACCAGAGCGTGACATTGTTTCCACAGCAAAAGCTGATAGGCTTCCAGGAACAGCTGGAATGCATCACTCCCATGATAAGCTTTAGCAAATGTGCATTAGCAGGAGTAGTTAAACCAACGGTTTGGATATATGTCTTGCAGGTCTTACTTTTGGATCTCCGTTCAGCCTGGACTTTCTTCCGGCGGGCTGTTCTGCCGTGGCCGCCGAAGTTCTCGTCGTCTACGACCACTTCCTGACCCTATACGTGCAGAGTAAGCAAGACAGGCTGGATAATTATTTATTAGTCAAATTCTTTCATTTACCTGCTGCTGATGCCCTTGACGGCAAAACCACAACCCGTTTTCGATATAGTAACGGGTTTCGCGGCAGCCTTCCTGGCCGCAGGTACCGCGCACCGACTCCGCCATCAGAAGTGCATCTTCGCATGTAACGCTGGACGAGACTCACATTCAGGCTGTGTATTATGCCTGATTTGCTCGGCTAGATTACCTTGCCCTTCGCCACGCCCACAAAGGGGAGAGAGAGAATACGGAATTTTTTTAAAAAAAATATTCAATACACTTAGTTATTCGATGACTAGAGAGGAGCTACTGGTAGTGGCACGTGAGCCAACGGTTTTCAAGGTATTCTCTGACGTTCTTTAATGGAACAAAGATGTAGGAGAAGAGGCAGGCTGTACAGCGAAGGAAATGCTTTGACATCGTATATCTTTTCATTCATCATCACTCTGTCATTTGGGAAATGCCACACATGAAGAGCATCCACTTGTATACTAGAAAAACATAGCCCAGAAAAAGCTGCTAGGACCTATTTCTGCCATCTGCGGATGCAAGCAAGTCAAAGAAGATCAACTGTCTCCAAGGATGCTTAACGCCCACGCAGGTGATTTGATGGAACGGCTTATGGACACAGAATTCTAGCGATAGCGGGTAGAACAATGTTAAAATGGTAATTCAGGAATTGTCGTACTAATTTAGTGGGTAACTTCCTTTGCATCCATAGCGACCTCCTCGCCCATGGCAGTCAACACAACAACGCCTATAGAGCAGTTAGAGGAAAAAGGCTGTTAAGATCTAGAAGAGGTAGCTGGGGTTTACTTACTGACGTCCTTCTCCTCAGTTTTGAAGAGTCGCTCGATCTTCTCACCGACCTCACCAGGGGGAAGCTTGACATCATCCTTGGAAGTTCCATCATCCTTCATCAAGTTAAGGAAACCGTCGTCACTGATGTCCAGCTGCGGTGATGTTAGTATATAAGAACTCGCGTCCCCACCCGTTATTATCTAAACAGGTGGCAACTTACCAGCTGGTATTCCTGACGGCGGACGTTGGGGACATCCATGTTGTGGGTGGAGGGAGAGAGATCTTCAAGCTTCTTGCCGGTGAAGATATCGATGGCGACCAAGTGGACTTTGGCGTGGCCGTGCTTTCCGGTCTTCGAGGTGGTCATCTCAACAATCTTGCAAGGACGGCCCTTGATGACGACGTGACCGTTCTTTCGCAGGGCAGAACACTGCATTGGGAAGGTCTCGGAGGCGCCAGCATCGGGGCTCTCGAAGGTGACATTGTGCTATAGACCAGCGTCAGCGACCAGAACTCATTGCCTTTCGGTGGCTGCCAAAAAAAAAAAAAAAAAAAAAAAAAAAAAAATTACCACAAATGTAGCGCCCGCGATGGATGCGGGGAAGAGGCTTAGGGAAGTGGGATGTGTATACCTGCTCGTCGTCGGCCATGGTGAAGGATGTCGAGTCGATAGGTCAGAGAATAGGCTGGAGGAGGATGGATGGGGGGGAGAGGCCGACAGGTGTGCGCGAGATGGGAAGTGTTTGTGAGAAGGCAAGGGTGGGGAGGAGGCCGAAGTGTGAAAAGCAGGCAAAGAAATTTATATATTTTGCTGCCCTCCCGCCAAAGGAGGGAAAAAAAAAAAAAAAAAAAAATAAACAAAATAAAAACTTGTGTAGGAGGGGTCGGGAGTGCTTAGCCCGTTTTGGGCCTGTTTGCACTGTTTGCTGCTTTTGGCGCTTTTGGCTCGTGCGGGCGACCGCAGCCAGGCTGATCCATTAGTTTAGGTAAAGCTCTAGGACGAGGACGAGCCAGCAGGACGAGGACGAGCGGACACCAGAGACAAAGACGCCAGCAGCGATAGCGATAACTAGCGATAGCGACGGCGACGGCGACGGCGACAGGGGCCCTGAGACATGCGCGTTTAGGAGCCCGGTTGGATGCAGACCGGCGTCGAGAGCGGACAGGCAGCGCGAAGATGTGGCCAGACAGAGGAGCTGCCGGCCAGGGAGGCCCGGTTGCCTCTGCGTCCGCCGGCAGCCTGCCATACTCTCCAGCACGGCGGCAGTCACAGCTATCTGCTGCTAACAAGCCGGGACGGCCGTCGTTTAGTCCCAGGTCCTCCTCACTGTCCTTCTCTCCCACCCCGAATGCCTCCACTACCTCCCTACCCGGCGCCGCACGAGCCGCAAATGGACTCTCGAGACAGCCTCCTTCGGCCATGAGGAACCAAAGCTACCCTGACCCGGTAGATGTCTTGAACGGCATCATTGGCCAGCGACGTAGCAGTTCTACGTCCGGCGACGAGGCAGCCTCGCCGCCAGAGAAGCCGGATGTCCTTTGTGAGAACATCGACTTTGGCGGCCTCAGCTTAGAGGAGTTTGCCCATCAGATGGAGACACTGCCAGCTCGCCGGAACTATGGGCAGGGACTACAATCATTTGAGCAGTGTGAGCCTCCCATGGATATCTTTGTCTATCCAGTCACCCATTGTTGATATTTGGATGTATATAGATGAGAATGATCGGAATATCTTTGAAGAACTTCACAATTCGATCACAGTATGTCACATCTCACGTTTTCATTCAGATCTTTCACCTGATACTACAAAGAGGCCCCCCCAGCTAATCATCTTTGCACTCCAGGGATGTGACGAAATACTAAAATCAGTTGAATCATACCTCACCAAGTTCCAAGCCGAGCTGGGGGCTATATCCTCGAAGATTGAGTCCCTACAGTCCCGTTCATTCCGACTAAGTTCACAGCTTGAGAATAGGAAGAATGTTGAACGAATCTTGGGGCCAGCTGTCGAGAAAGTTAGCGTGTCACCACATACAGTTCGGTCGATATCAGACCGTCCTATCGATCAAGAATGGGTTAAAGCTCTCTCTGAACTCGATACGCTTTCTTCTACTATCAATGCAGATACCTCTACCCCAGAAAACATAAAGGCCATAGAGGATGTCAGACCTTTACTGAAAAATTTGCAAGAAAAGGTGCGTTTACTTCTATCCCAGTTATAGCTCACTCAAGCCCCATCACTAATTTTATGTGAAGGCTGTGGAGCGGATTCGAGACTTTCTAGTCACTCAAATAAAGGCCATTCGATCCCCGAATATGAATGCTCAAGTCATCCAACAACAGTCGCTCCTGAAATACAAAGATCTATATACATATCTTTCGACTCACCACCCAACATTATCCGAGGAGATCACCCAAGCGTATGTCAATACGATGAGGTGGTATTACTTATCAAACTTCACTCGATATTCCCAAGCCTTAGATAAGTTGAAGCTCTATTCAATCGATCGAAATGATCTCCTTGGAGGCGATGCTTCTTCGCAGAGAACGGGTAAATCATATTTCTACATTTATATTCTTCAAGGTAGTTCAGTATGCTAACCTTTCTTAGCGCATGGTGGATCTGGCGGCCGTAGTCCTGCACTTGCTGCTCATGATCCCCTCGCCTTGGGTCGGCGTATGGACATATTGAAATCAAGCTCCCACATGGCTCTCTCATCTTACTTGGCAGAGGAAGACAAGTCTACACATGGGCTGGAGATTGTCTTCCGAAACTTCAATCTGGCGCTGATTGATAATATCTCTGCTGAGTATTCGTTTATGGCCGAGATGTTTTCTGCGAAAACAATACATTATACCTCGCAGAAAGTGACGGAGATCTTCGAACCCACATTCGCATCCGGTCAGGCTATAACAAAACAGCTTATCGATACCACTACTGACTGTATTGGAATCCTCCTCTGCGTAAGATTAAACCAGCAATTTGCATTTGAAATGCAACGTCGGAAAGTCCCAGTGGCAGATCCTTACATCAACGGCATCAACATGCAACTCTGGCCTCGGTTCCAAATGATCATGGACATGCATTTTGAATCACTGAAGAGGATATCAACAGCCTCTACTAGAAGCGGCCTTTCAGTCCTAGCTCTGACATCAACCGATGCCCAATCATCTGCACCGCACTTCCTTACACAACGATTCGGCCAGTTCCTGCATAGTATATTGACATTATGCAACGAAGCTGGTGATGATGAGCCGATTTTCAACAGTCTAGGCAGGCTGGTGAATGAATTCGACGCCCTGCTCACCAAACTAAGCAAGAGCAGCGGTGACGCAAAAAGAAGAGAACGCTTCCTCTTTAACAATTACTCCTTAATTCTAACCATTATCAGCGTAAGCCATGATTTATCTCTACCCACGAGTTTGAGCATTCCTAACCTTCCTTTTAGGATACCAAAGGAAAACTGGCAACCGACCAGAAAGAGGTGCGTGCTTACTACAAGCAATTCATCGTTGTTTTTGATATACTAACAATCTCGTAGCATTTTGAATCTTTCGTTAGAGGGCCAAGTAACCGTCGATAGTCATTCAAAGCAACGGGACATCTCCTTGTTCATGTGTAGAACCCTTGGGATATAGAGCAAATTTTTATGGCGTCTTGGTTGGTCTATGGAAGCAAGCGGCTGCAAGTAAGCGTCGGAGTCTGGCATATTTGCAGTAGCATTCACGTTGTGTTTATCTAATATGCGTATCAATAATCCCTTTATACTTCGCTGTAGATAGTCACAATATGAGAAATGCCCCTGTTGATCTCCTTGATCTCCACCAGAGGCCGAGCCCAATTGAGGTTCGGCCATTACTAAGCTCCAAATTCCGGCTAACGTTATTTAGCCGTCTGGGGGTAACACTCTTCTATCCTCACCAACAGCCTGCTTTTCGGATGGTGAAAGGCAAAGGCTCAATAGATGAACCCGCAGACTCTTTGACTGGATTAGCCTGCGAGGCGAGGAGTTGAGCCGGTGACGCCGCCCCAGCACTGGTTGCGCAATGTTCTCTAGGCCTGCGTTTTCAAGGCAGGTAGCAAGATGCCGCCCATTTTCTAGTAGCAGCAAGCTACATGCCGACTTTACACACGCAGTAGGTGCTACTATAACACCCTCTGGGCACAATCCCGTCTTAATTTGTGCTCGACCTTATAATGTGGTGACCTCTGAACATGATTTGATGATGTGGAGAATAGGTAATTGGAGCTGGAGTTGTTGGACTAGCTGTGGCTCGTCAATTAGCAGCTCGAGAAGGATCAACCATTCTAGTTGAGAAACACTCAGCAGTTGGAACAGAGACAAGCAGCCGAAACTCCGAAGTCAGTGGCAGACCCTTCATCAACTTTCGTTTTGGGAAGGCAAATAAAACTAACAGGCGCCCTATAGGTAATTCACGCTGGTCTATACTATGGCGTAGACTCTTTAAAAACAAAACTATGCATTGAAGGGAAAGAAATGCTTTACGAACTTTGCGAGAAGCAAAACATCCCGCACCGCAACACTAAGAAGTGGATTGTTGCCCAGGACGAGGAACAATGGAAAGAATGTTTGAAAGTTTTCCTCCATGCTAAGGAAATAGGTGTACCAATACGCTTTGTTTCCGCCGAAGAGGCAAAAAGGAGAGAGCCAGATGTGCGAGCAGAGGCGGGGATCCTAGAAAGTCCCACGACTGGGATAGTGGACGCTCACTCCCTAATGTCTTACCTACACGGCAACTATGAGGAAAGAGGCGGAGACTGCGTGCTGTTGACGGAAGTTTATAAAATTGAGCCTCTAAAAAATAGAGGTGGTTATGAAGTTTTTACCCGGTCCGGAGAGAGAAAAGACGAAGAGTCATCTTTTACAGCCGAAACACTAATTAACTGTGCTGGTCACTTTGCGTGTGGAATAAACAACATGATTTTACCACCAGAAAGACATCGAACTCCTCACTTCGCTAAAGGGACATATTTCTCATACGCAGCTTCATCACCAAAGCCTTCAACCCTGCTATACCCAGCGCCGAGACCCAGTTATGGCGGATTGGGCACACATCTGACTCTCGACATGGCCGGCCGAATAAAATTTGGCCCTGATGTCGAATGGGTAGACAGTCCAGATGATTTGATCCCGAGCCCAAAACGTTTAACACAAGCTATCAAGGAGATCCAGGCATACTTACCCAGCGTGAATCCCGATGCGATTGGTCTTGATTACTGCGGTATTAGACCGAAGCTAATCAGGGGAGGGTCCGTCTCCTCTGGGAAAGATTTCCAAGACTTTGTGATTCAGGAAGAAACAGGTTTCCCAGGCTTCATAAACTTACTTGGGATTGAGAGCCCCGGGTTGACTAGCTCTTTGGCTATTGCAAAAATGGTAGAGAATCTTTTATATAGATAGTTATTTTTCTTGGGCTGTTTAACCACATAAAGAATGTTTTCTGGGTCAAGCTTCAATGCAATTGCTTTTTTAACAGTTCGACCCAGGTCAATCAATACAAGCTTCGAATAAGCTCAAACACTGTTAAGACTTAGTATCTACTGGGCTGTAGTGATCAAGGATGCTCACTTACATGCTGGTAGATTTGGGTCTTTTTTATCCCCTTTCAATGCACGCAACGCAATTGTGTCAGCCTCACTGGGCTTGACGGAAAACTACCATTCAACGAAACATGAAATTAGCAACCAGTAAAGATCTTTAGAAAATTATGGGGATATTTTCTTACTTCAGTCAATGTAGATTTCAATTCCAAGCTCTCCACCAACTTGGCGATAGCATCTCCCACAGCATTGGCATCCTTTGCATTATCACCTGAACAAGCCTGGCCAATATATGGCAATATTTTTGCAATTTGATGAGCTTCCTCCGGATTCCTAGTGGCTTTGAAGTGTATAGTTTTGGCCAGGGATATACAAGATGTGATACCGTGGGGAATTGCATATGTAGCCCCAATAACATGGCCAATTGCATGGCTTAGCCCTATGGGGGCTGTAAAGTAGAAGGGAGGAAAGGCAGAATACGCGGCTATTTGTAATTCCTGGCGAATCTTTGGGTCTTCGGGATCCTTCTTGCACAACGGGAGGAGCCTGAATATCTCTCTTATTGCCGTTCGACACAGTCGTTTTGTAGGCACTTCGGCGGCCTGAGGGTGATACTGTAACTCAACTGCATGATCAATTGCACGGACCTGAATATATTCTTTAGCGTATTGTGAGATAGAGAGTTGTTGGCCAATTCTGAGATTTCTTACAGCGGAGCTTAGCCATAGACGTGCTGGGGTATGTAGAGTGATTTCGGCATCGTAAATGATTGCTGCAAACATTAGCAGATACATTAACTAGTTAGCTAGTTAACTAATTATTGATATCAATTTTCAATAGTTACCTTTAGGTGCCAATTCAGGGTGGAAGATCCCAACTTTTAGACCTTCACGACTGGTATACCCTGCTCCCAGTGTATTTTCAGCCACGCTCAGAGTCGTCGGTAGGGCAACTATAGGTATCCATTGCTCAGTGTGTTGATTCATATGATATGCGACGGCCTTCGCAGCATCTATGGGCGATCCTCCCCCAACCGCTACTAGGACATTCGCCGCAGATTGCTTGATATGTTCTATTGCGGACTCTATATCCGCAACAGGCCTATTCTCTGCCAGTTAGCCTGACGATCTTGTATCCCACCCATGATTTAGCAGCGTACGCATGTTGACGGACTCCAGCATATGTGCCCGCATGCGAGTCCGCCAGGAGGCCCTCTAGCTCCTTAATAATGGGTGTTTTCTCATTCAACGATCTTCCCGTTATGATAAATGCTTTGGAGCCTCCTAGCTCAGAAACCACTTTTCGTAGCGAGCTTCGTCTTCCTAATCGTGTTATTAACATGTTAGTTAACAGCGTTATTTCTTCATCTCATAATGCCTTGTGGTCGAGCGTATATCACTTGCCTTGCCCGTAGAGCATATACTTTGCAGGTAGCGTAATATATGCACCCTTTAGCTCGCTGTCAATGCCATGGAACGAAGACGTAAAATCCATTTTATACAAATCCTTAGCCAGGTGCAATGTAATTGTTATAAACAGTTTACCCTATACTGTTAACGTGGGGATGTTTTCCTCGACACTGCGATCCATGTTATGGTATGGTGGGATGAAGGTGCCTTGTGCTAGTTATGACGACATCGATCCTTTTTAAACTTGAGGCGCAACATTTGAACATTGGAATAGTTGTTTGAACGTAGAACATAGAATAATCACAATCCAGCCTGCAGGATATACTATGTGCGCAGAGAGCAAATGTAGATTTTCGGTATAATAATAATAATAATAGAGATGCATAGATATACTCCTTGGGCAGTCTATCTTTCTAAACAGTTCAAATGCAGGATGTTCATCATATTTGAACGCTCGTGTCATTCTTGAATAAGCCACTTCATCTCTTGACAAGGCACAGCAAGCATTTGCGTTCAGCTCAACTCAAACCCCGAGTTAAATATACACACTGCAAGCCTCCGGGGCTGTTCTTCGAGGAAAGAAAAGGTATAAAGCAATTGAACGAGCACAGAGGAAAGGAAAGAGAAGACGAAGCGCAGAAGGCCTCCCTAGCACCGTAAGATATGAACTTTTTTTTTGAATTGGCATTTCCTTTCCATTCCCATACTCTCTTTTTCCCCTTCTCATTGTTCGTTCATTTGTGTTGGTTGTTCACAATTTGTAAAAGATACCACACAAAGATAAATGCTGTCTGGGTTGTAAGGAACCTTAACATGCATGCGTTGCTACCACATTCCACATTCTAACAGGATCAAAAAAAAAAAAAAAGAAAACAGATGAAAGAAATAAAAAGAGAAGAAGGCAAAGACCTGGGCAAAAAGGGAATCAAGCACGAGTTAGAAAGAAAAGACAGACAGACAGATAAAACTCCTGGAAAAGGGGGAGGGAGATGTCATGAAGACGTAAGCAGGTGAACGCACAAGGTGGATGAAACGTAATAAGGAGAAGGGAAAAGGGGGAATAAAAGGTAAGGGATATCTTTGTTACCAGGAAGGGAGAAAGATGTGATGGAACTTTTCCCACTTCCAACGTCAAACCTTTGCCAGCTACAACCGAAACTTGGAGGGGAAAAAGGTAAAAAAAAAAATCCATAACCGTATATCAAGGCTGGATAGGTAGAGTGGCATAAACGCCAGGCAGAAGGGAGGGAAAGGGTCGTCCAGCAAAAAAGAAAAAAAGGGAGGCAAAACAAAAGGGAACATAGAAACAAGAGGAAGAGTATTCGTTAAGACATGCCAAGCCGAGGAAACCAGAATCAAAAACTTTCCTCCACAATTAGAAAACCGTTTCAAGCATTATTTAAGACTTAGTCTCTTCCGCGGGCTTGCCAGCCTCTGGCTGAGCAGCCTCACCGGTGGGGGCATCATTCTTGTTCTTGACATATTCATCGTAGACAGTAAGAGCTTCGTCAACCTTGGCTCGGAGAGCAACGTCATCATCGACACTGGTCGGGTAAGTTAGCTTTGATTATTATCAAGTATAGATGGGGAAGGGTGTGTTCTTACAGGCCAATCAACTCTGAGTTGTCCATTTCCAAAAGCATACCAGTGATTTTTCCGGCAAGCTCAGGCTGTTGAGCAAGAATCTTAGGGTAGATGGCTTCACCGAGCATCTGTTTCTGCTGGGGCTCGGGAGCAGCGTTGAAAACTGCGAGGTTGATTGAGCCAGAGCCGGCTGCTTCATCGCGTGGTATACCGCCTTGTCCAGGAGCACCTTGACCGCGGCCACCAGGGCCTGCCCGGCCACCCTGCTGTATGGGCATGCTACGTCCCTGAGCGAAGCCTGGGGCACCAGGTCCACCACGCATTTGTGGGGCATTACCGGCAGCCGGTGGCATACCTTGCATTGGACCCTGGCCACGACCACCTCCACGGCCGAACGACTGGACCTGGCCTAGCTGTGGGTAATTTAGACCGTTTGGAATTCCAGTACCCTGCATTGCGCCCATTGGGATACCTTGGCCACTCATGGCGAAGTTAGGAGGAAGCGGCTGGTTAGGGTTCATTCCACGGCCGCCCTGCTGTCCAGGGAACTGGGGGAACTGGCCAGGACGACCACCGGGCATTCCTGGCATAACCATACCAGCTTGACCAGCAAACTGCATTCCACGCTGAGCACCGGGGAGGAAACCTTGCTGGCCAGGAGCGCCATAGAAGACGGCAGGCTGCATGAACTATCTTTGGTATTAGAAAAAGAATCGAATGTGTGTATATATATACGGGGAGCACTCACGGGTTGGGCCATTCCGGCGGCGGCAGCAACCTGCTGTTGGCGGATGGTGTTTCTAGCTTGGATACTGGCCTCGAGCTGGTAAATGTTAGTAACTTGACTTCTTAGAAAATGTATTACCTTGGTGCTTACCTGGCTCTTGCGAACATCCTTGCGTTGGGCCAAAGCAACGTAGAGTGGCTTTCCGTGAACCATGCGTTGGTTCATCTCGGTAACAGCCTTCGAGGCTTCATCTGGGTTGCTGAAGCAAACGAAACCGAAACCTTTACTCTTTCCGAGATGTTTCTTTTCAGGCTTGGCACTCTCGGTCTTTCCCTCAGTCTTCTCTTCGGATTTCGACTTGTCCTCAGATTCAGACTTAGACTCTCCCTTTTCCTCGGACTTGTCACCGGTCTCCTTCTTCGCCTTCTCCTTATCAGCTTCCTTGTCCTTTTCGGTTTCGGCGGGAACGTCGACAATGGCCTCGCGCATGACCTTGGCGGAAGTGATGTTTCCGTAGCTGCTAAAGAGCTCACGGAGCTTCTCATCATCGATATCGTCGGACAAGTTCTTGATGTAAAGGTTAACACCCTGGTACTTGGAAGCCTTCTCGATGCGAGCAGCTTCATACTGCTTTCGCAACTCCTCTTCACGTTCATGCTTCTTCTGGGCACGGCCGACGTAGAGCTTCTGACCCTTGAGCTCGTACTCGTTCAAGGCCTCGACAGCGGCGGAGGCAGCCTCATGGTCAGAGAAGTTGACGAATCCAAACCCGCGGCTCTTGCCGGTCTCATTGTCACGGCTGAGGGTAGCAGAGGTGATTTCACCATACTTCTCAAAGAGACCACGGAACTCCTCATCGGTGACGTCCTGCTCAACGTTCTTGACGTAGATGTTGGTGAAGTTGGCCTTCATCTCCTCGAACTTGCTCTGGCGATCCTTCTTGGCAATGTGGTGTCCAACAAAGACCTTCTTCTCGTTCAACAACATACCATTGACGTGTTTGATGGCATTGGTGGCGGCCTCAGCAGTTTCATAGTGGACGAATCCGTATCCTTTGGAGTTACCATACTCATCCTGGGCAACCTTGCAAGAAAGAATGTTTCCGAAAGCAGCAAACGTGTCGTGAAGAGCCTTGTTGTC